CCTAAGGACGTTGGCATGGAGCGACCATTCTAAAACCAGTTGGACTTGTCGGTCGATCATGAGTATGTTTTTTTTCTCCTATTAGGGAAATCAATTTGGGTTTGGTTTAAGAAAAACCAAACTTTGGCCTATTATGATCCATGAGATTGTTATTGGGTTAAGAGTTATGAGGGAGTATATATATGACTCCAAACCTAATTTTGGTGAAAAGAGAAACTAATTGAAGAGAGGCCATTTTCGTCAGTTAAGAAGGAGAAAAACAGTTTCATCAGGGTTTGTTCAATAGAACGTTTGGAGGCCTAAACGTGCTCCGATTTGGCTAAAATTTTGGGGTTAGTTTCGTGAGTCAGTGGTCTTGATATTCAACGGTGAAGATTGTATTTCAACGGTTGGTTCGTCGCAGATCTGGGTTTTAYCGAGCCTGTTCGYTGTTGTTGCGAGTTCAGATTTCAGACTGTGTTATCTTGAGTGTTTGGGAAATCCGACGGTGAAATCTTCTTGGATTGAGCTGAAATTTGGCAGAGATATTTCTGACTTGTTTATCTAGGATTTGTACGGTGAAGATCTGATTTGGTGATCGAATCCTAGTGAATTTAGGGTCATTTAGGACTGTTTGTTTCTAAGCTCTTGTATTGCTCTCTTGTGGTGTTTCTTGTGTTGGAGATTGCTCTTTGGAGCCTTAGTCTCTGGATCTGTTTTTTGGGAGTAGAGAGGACGTGGTTGTAACTCAAATTTGATCTAGTGGATTTTTGAGTGGACTACGGTCCGTGGTTTTTATTCCTCACATCGAGGAGGTTATCCACGTAAAATAATTTGTTGTCTCATTTACTTTACTGCTTTGATTTGCTGCTGCCGTATTCTATATTTTTCTCACAGGTTCACATAATTGTGGAGAAATTTATTCCGCTGCGCCATTGGTGCTTATCGTTTTTCCCCAGCAGAGTGGTATCAGAGCTTTCTGGTTTGATAACTTTGGTTATTGGTTGTTTGCTTTTGTGAGCGATGGAAAATATGGGCAGGATGATCAGCTTGGATTGTTCCAATTATCATATTTGGAAAGGTAAGATGGAAGATATCCTTTATGTGAAGGAGCTTCATGTTCCAGTCTTCGAGGAGAAGAAACCTGAGGCTAAAACTGAAGATCAGTGGAAACTGCTACATCGTCAAGTGTGTGGTT